GTCCCAGATCCATAGTCAATATCAGGTAGATGACAGATGCCCCAAGTCAGTGCCCCATCAGTGTAAGCCCATGTAGTAGGAGGTCACCGGAAACTCTACGGAGAGGAGCTTTGATAAGGACCTTTTTATTTTATGGCCTCGGGGGAAAGTGTGTGTAGGGGAGGTTCACGTGAAGTAAAGCTCCAAGCGCCAGGCTCACCATTGCCAGCTAACAGCAGCTCGGAGTGTGCTTAGCTGCTCTCTTCTCTGCTATTCTGGTCGTCTGCTCCCTCCCTCCCACTGCCAGCCTCCTCCCTTCCAGCTGCAAGGGTAATACCACCCCGCCCCCCCCCCCCCCCCCGCACCTTCTGACACCCGCTGCTCCCAGCAGGCAGTTCCCCTTTGCCACCAAAGGGTCTCACTTCCCAACCCAGCCCTGAGCAGCCAGTGACCAGATGTGCCGGGAGCCGGTCCATCCTTGCTGTTTCAAGGGACCTGGCATATATGGCATATTGTTCTTAATATGTTTGCTCACCTTCTTGGCACTATGTGTTTTAACCAAGGTCTCCTCTCTGAGAAAGGTTGTTTCCCCAGGTAGGGATTTTCCCCTGAAGTTAGGGAGGGAATAAAACCTCTTAACTAAGTGCCAGGCGGGTAATTAATCACTTTAACTACGAACAATCGTGCTTAAGCTACATAATCTTTACTCCCTGAATGAAGATAAGAAACGCCCTAACCTTTGTAATAGAGATTGATAGGATTGAATCAACTGGTATAAATACAGATGCAACAAGACAGCAAGACCCAGAACTTAGAACACAGAACTTAGAAGACAGAACCTACACTCAGAACCTAGACACAGAACCTACACAGAATCTAGAGACAGAACCTAGCGAGAGAACATGGCAAAAGATCCTGGACTGAACCTGACTACAGAAATTGGCAAGAGAACCTGACTAGAACCTGGTGACTGAACCTGGCTGGAGAACCTGGACAGAACCTGGCTGGAGAACCTAGCAAGGGAACATGGCTACAGAACCTGGCTGGAGAACCTGGAGAACCTAGCAAGAGAACATGGACACAGAACCTGGCTGGAGATCCTAACCAGAACCTCACTGGAGATCCTGACCAGAACAAGGCTAGAGAACCTTGCTATGATGATCATCTGAACGCCCTCTCCGTGTCATTCCTTCTTCACTAACTCCGTCCACACCTTTGGGGACCCCTGGACCTGCTGGGGTTGGACCCCGGCACAGATGGTCGTGCTGCTGTTTTGCAAAAGCAGGAACTTTATATGAGCCCTGTTCCTGCCAGGAGTTTCACCAAGACCACGTCAAAAGAGGTGGAAACCAGGACACAAGGGGACTCTGTAAAGGTTGGCTGCGAGGATACCCAGTCGTGACCTGGCCCCAAGCCAACAGAGACACACACCCCACCAACGCCAAGCCGCAGGGCCTTGTTCCCAGAGTGGACGCGCGCCAGGTTCGGGCCGTTGAACCAGGCTGGGTGGCAAGCTCTCGCCGCAGCTGCATCTCCAGGGCCTTGGCGCTAAAGGGACAGTGAGGCTGGAAGTGACAAAGCAAAGGTAGTAAGAGAAACGTGCTATGGGACTCGGAGAGACCCATGACCCTCTTTGCCAGACACTGGCTTTGGGTTGGGCCATGCTCCATAGGGTCCTGGGAAATACCTTGTCACACCAAGGCCACACCCCACCCCTGCTGAGGAATTCAGGCCTCCAGGCTCCAAGAAGTGTGTGTGGGCCCTAACCGGTTTGGCTCAGTGGATAGAGCGTTGGCCTGTGGACTGAAGGGTCCCAGGTTCAATTCCAGTCAAGGGCATATACCTGGGTTGCGGGCACATTCCCAGTGGGGGGTGTGCAGGAGGCAGCTGATCAATGTTTCTCTCTCACCGATGTTTCTAACTCTCTATCCCTCTCCCTTCCTCTCTGTAAAAGATCAATAAAATATATTTTTAAAAAAAGAAATGTGTGTGGGAGTGGGGGTGAGATACCTCCAGGTTCCAGAGGTAGGACTGAAAACGACAGGGGTTTTCCAGGTACAGGATACTGGCTTAGGCGGATCCAGTGGTCTACTGTCTCAATGGCCACACCATCCTCTCTTGGGACCACAAAAGCAGGCCCCAGGCAGACTCTTCAAGGACCCCAGGCATCTGAGCCAGCCAGGGAAGCATCCCCAGCGGAGATCCAAACACTTTTCTGGGGGTGGAGAGCAGGGTTGGCAAACTCTTTCTTAAAAGGCAAGAGTACATATTTTAGGCTTATGGGTCATAGGGTCTCTGTTGCAACTACAGTAAGTTCTCACTAAAGGTCATGGATAGGTTCTTGGAAACTGTGACTTGAACCAACATGGCATATAACAAAACCAATTTCACCACAGGTGAATTGATATAAAAGAAGAGTTAATTCCTAGGGCATATTTCTGGTCACAAAATCATCACCAAACTTCTAAATAAAGACCCAAAACACTTCTAATATTAAACATGGAAATAAATGTGAGCTATATATACATTTAAGAAAGATGAATAAGAACAATTAAGATCATTATTTTCCAACCCGCTTATTCTAGTTCAGGGTCGTGGCTGACAAGAACTCTCCCCAGCAGCCCAGGGCACAAGGCAGGCACCCACCAAGGACAGGGCGCCCTTCCATTGCAGGGCCACTCACACTCACACCCACACCCTCTCAGAGGGGACAATATAGACACATCAGTTCATCTAAGAGTCACATCTTTGGGATGTGAGAAGAAACCAGAGCACCCCAGAAAACCCACACAGACATGGGGAGCACTGGGAAACTCCATACAGTCAGGAATCAATTTCCGCCCTCCCCCCCCATCGGTATTACGATAAAACGACATTGAACAAAACAACATTATTAGAAGACCTGCTGCCCTCAACTACACCAATTAGCATGAAAGTGGCCATAGACAAATAAACAATGGGCATGTCTGTGTTCCGATAAAACTTTATTTACAAAAGCAGGCATCTGGCCCATGGGCTGTAGTTTGCCAACTCCTGCTCTTCCTGCTCTTCCTGCATTTCCAAATCCCAAGAGGAGTAGAGGCCACCTTCCCTCCACCAGGAGGACTCCCACCCACTCTGGAGACAGGGCCCTATTCTGGGAACCAGGCCTCCATTCCTGCTCCTCCCTCCCACAAGACACTAAAGAAGTCTGGGTTGCTAGTTCGAGAAGAAAAGTCAGGCCTGCATCAGAAACCTGGGCAAAAGACGTAAAGGCTTTAGACATCACATCCAAAGGCTTTAGAGATGAAAAGAGCTAGGGTCTGGGAAAGGAAGTGACTTGCCCAAGATCATGTAACTGGCAAAGGCTTCCTGACTCTGTCCAGTGCTCTTAATCCTCTAGAGCAGTGATTTTCAACCTTTTCCATCTCACAGCACACATAAACTAATTACTGAAGTTCTGCAAAGCACCAAAAAATATATGTTTTGCTGACCTGACAAAAAAAAAAAATAGGTATAATTTTGATTGATTTATTAAAAAAAAAAAAAAAGTAATTACCTACCTACCTACCCTTTTTTGCTCCAAAGTGACTTTTAAAACAAATCAGGTGCCTATAGTTGTATATAAGGATTTCTGGTACCAAGAATGAACGAATCGGAAGCAACCTTATTCTGCAATGTGACCAATAAGATACAACTCCATATTATGGTTCAAGACAGGGCACTCACACCAGACGCCTATTGTTGTGTTGGCTGTTGTCATTTTTTAATTTGACAATCTAAGGTAAAAGAGGTCAGTGACCCTGACTAAACAGTCGGATACTATATGTTTTAAAATTTCTTGCAGCACACCAGTTGAAAATTGCTGCTCTAGAGTGATTACTGAAAAGGAACCAGAATCAATAGTCTTGATGGTGGAGACTAAGGGCCTATAACACATCTCTATACCACATCCTGGGAACTTTCAGTAACCTCTAAGACAGGGGTCCTCAAACTTTTTAAACAGGGGGCCAGTTCACTGTCCCTCAGACCGTTGGAAGGCCGGACTATAGTTTAAAAAAAAACTATGAACAAATTCCTATGCACACTGCACATATCTTATTTTGAAGTAAAAAAACAAATGTTTTCGGTGGGCCGCATGTGGCCCACGGGCCATAGTTTGAGACCCCTGCTCTAAGAGCATAGGTCAGTGAGAGAGCTTGGAGAGGGTAAAAGTAAATCAATAAATAAATAGATAGATAAATAGATATATATATATATATATATCCTATCTAATAATAGACAAACATGGTAATTGACCGTACCTTCGCTATGCCCCCCTTCGGCTAATCAGCGAGATATGCAAATTAACCACCAACAAAGATGGCGGTTAATTTGCATACGTAGGTGCGAAGCGAAGGCTGAAGGTGGCTCCGGCCGGAGCAAAGGTTTGGGTCCCGGGTGCCAGAGGAAAACCGGTGCTGGAAGCCAGGGGAAGGAAAGGCCTATTGCACGAATCTTTTTGTGCAACAGGCCTCTAATATATATATATATATACATATATATATATATATACATATACACACACACACACACACACACACATACATACACACCAGAGGCCTGATGCACGAAATTCATGCAAGAGTAGGCCTTCCTTCCCCTGGCTGCTGCCACCGGCTTCCCTCCAGCAGCCGGGACCCAGGCTTCCCTCTGACTGCCCTCTGGCTACTGGCACCCGGGACCCAGGCTTCCCTCCCAGAGGGAGGCTCCACCCACCTGCCACAGTTCACCAGGTCAGTGTCCTGGGCCTCCTTCTGTGGGGCGATCATGGGGCGATGGCCAGTCCCCAACCAATCACATCACACCTGCCTTGGCTGGTGCCAGTGGGTGTCATAGTGTGGTCCCGGATGGTCGTCCAGATGGTCGTCCGGATGGTCGTTCTGCTGTTCCGCCATTCAGTCGATTTGCATGTTATGCTTTTATTATATAGGATAAATAATAATAATAATAATAATAATATAATAATAAAAGCGTAATATGCTAATTAGACTGGACGTCCTTCCGGATGACCTTCCAGATGAAGCTGGGGCTGTGAGGACCGAGGCAGCTGCCACAGCTGTGAAGGCCGAGCCCCTTGCATGAATTTTGTGCATTGGGCCTCTGAATATATATATAAAATCCTTCCAGGACATATCCTCCTGGTCATAGTTATTAGAGAAAAGAAAACTTAAATAGAAACCCGAACTTCAAAAAAGGGTGTGGTTTGGTAGAAGACGTGGGTGTTCATCAGCAGAAACTGGTCCAGCAGTCTGGGCGGGCCCTTGGGATAATAAACAAGAACAAGACATACAGCCTCACCCAATGCTGGGCCGAAGCCCCAGGCCCTGGGATCTCTCTCTACACACTTTCTCAGCCACCTCGCACCTTCAAAACTTTACAACTATTTCCTCCAAATCTCTTTCCAGAACAGATTTCCCTTGCAAACTCTATTTGCCTGACATCAACATATCTATCCGGATGGGCACTCTGCCATCGTCTGGAACGCAACATGTCTAAAACCAAAACAAACATGGCTCCCCCTCAAAGAAGTTTGAACCCTGATTTTTCTATTTCTGTCAATCACTAAGGCTCGGAATGTCTGTACCGTCTCTTCCCCTGTCCTGTCCCCAAGCCAAAATGGCTCTCTGAATTACTTCTTCCTCTGCACTCCCACCGGCTCCACCCTCATCCATCACCTCCAGTCTGGAATACTGCCAGTCTTCCGCCTGGGGCCCAGACTCTAAGCTTGTAAAAAGGCCAGGCTGATCTTCCCCCATCTCCCCATCCTCCTGCCGTCCACCACAATCTCTTCAAGGTCAAGGCCCAGTTCCCAGAATCTGACCTAACATGGCAGGTGCGCAATCAGTGCTGAATGAATGAATCCTAGCTTTCATCAGGAGCCATGACCACACTGGAAACCTCAGGGCCTTCCTATCCCTACCACTGTGAGCCCAGAAGGCCAGGCTCTGCAGGCCTCCATCCTCCCACCCACCCTTCTCACCCACCATCTCAGAAACAGGCTCCATCCCGCTGATCGACGCCGAACCCTCGTCATGTGCCAGTCATTCCTGCATCCACATCTCTGCCCACGCTCTGCTCGCCCGGTTCTGCAATGACGTCCATGCCCTTCCCCCTCCATCCACTCCAACTCCTACGTAACTGCCAAGCTCTGGGGGAGACGGGGGATGCAGGAAGGGGGGAGATCATTTTTAAAAATTGGGCATAGGGGGCATGACGAAGATAGGCTGAGGTCTCTGATCCCTGGAGACATCACCCTCCCCATGGGTCGCAGGCGATTAGAGAAGGAAGAGGTGGGAGGAGGAGCCAAATTTTTCCACTGAAGGAAAGGCATGATTTTCATCACTGCTTCTGTTGCCCTGGTAACCAGGGACAGCCCAGTGGAGAGTACAGTAAAAGAACACCATGTTTATCTTTGCTTTCTGATCCACTTCCCTGTACACCCTTCCCTGACCATCCCCTAGCCCCTAGGCCTGCACCAATTTTTTTTATAACGCCACCACCATCTTTCTAGTCGCTCTTGCTCAAAACGTCAAAGGTGGAGCTCATTTCTGCCTCTCTTTATCCAACACGATGTACCATATATTCTTCCACTGCAACATGCTGGGGATCGTCTCACCACACCCATCTGCCACGCCAGGGGGCCCCACGAACAAAAAGCTGATCTCAAAGCACAAGCCTGGCACCACTCCACCAGAGCCTCTTGGGCAACAGGGACTAGAGGGCAAGAAGGTGAGGAAGACTGCCCAACCACCCGCCCTCCCCCTCCTCAGCCCCAGACAGCTGGTGTGGAGTGGGCCCCTGTTTTCCGTGCCCCCTCCTATGTCCGGGATCAGGAGAATGAAAGAGCCAGGTTGAGAATGGGGGGAGTAGTTCTACCCACAAGCCTCCACGGATCCTGCCTCCCCCATGGACACAGTGTCTGCGTGACCTGGGAGTGGAGACAGAGCGCTTGCCCTGGGAGGTTATATAAGCGTTATATAACATGGTAGCACCAATAAGCACGCAGGGGTGGAACCAAACCCAAGGGGCTGGAAGGAACAGCCCTCTCGCCACCAATGCCAAAGGATCACCAGGCCCTGGCCGCCCCAGCCCTGTCTATACCTGCTCCTTCCACCCCAGAGGACACAGAGAGAGACTTGCCTGGCTCTTCGTTCTTCTTCCCACGCTGGGCCACGGGGAGGGGCTGCGGCACCATCACCACCCTGGCCCATGCCAGCCTCTGCCCCTGCAGCCTCAGGTGGCCAGGCTGCCCTTCCCACAGGGGAGCAGCAAGGGGGCCACAGGCAGGGGAGGGGCGGGGAGCCAGCAGCCCCCTCCTCTGGGTTTGTTGGGGGAAAGTGCTGCACAGCTCAGGATTGGCTGAGCCGGTGTCCCTCTGTCCCTCTGTTCTGTCATTCTCCAGTCCTCTAAAAAACAAAACAAACCAATTGTGCACTGATGATTGAATGATGAATCCCAAATTTTGGTCTATGGCTGCAAATACAGCTAAAAGGGGGGGGGGGCGCTCAGGACATTACCCAATTTCCCTAAGTCCCCCACCTCCCACCACATCCTGACAAAACCTATCACCTATGGACTTGGGCTGTAGGCCTGGAGACGCCCTTGCCTCCAGTCCCACCTCCCTCCCCCCAACCCCTATTTCTGGGGCTGCCTCAGCTGCTAAAGCTTCGATCTCTGACACTCCTGCGCCCCCCCCCCCCCCCCCCCCGCCCCACACTCTCCCCAAGTGTCTGCAGAGTGCTCTGAGTCTGGGGCTCCCAGATGCGCACGCAGGAGCCAGGCGGCTAGCCTGGGCAGTTTAGCACAGCTCTGGGCCAGGTCTTCATCAAACTCCTCCATCCTCACCATCACACCCACTTTATTATTTGGGGGTGGGGTGGGGGCAACTGAACAGAGCCCAATAGCATCCCCCCACAGCGCCTGCCCTCTCCTGAGCCATGCCACTGGCCTTCCCCCACCTCCTCCACATGCACCTCCGAGCCCCCTGAAGAAGGCGGGGGAGAGAAATACGCATTAATATCAGGAGCCTTTGCGCACCATCTCTCGCCCCCTCAACCACCTGTCTCGGCGCTCTCCATCCCCCACAGCCTTCCACAACTCCGGGCGCCCGCTCTGCAGCAAACGGGCACCACGCCCACTGCGGAGCGGAGAAATGCCAGGTGGGGAGTGGGCAGGAGCCCCCGGGACGCCCCGGGGGGCTGCTCCTCCCCCTCCCCCGCCCTGCTGGCCCCGGCCCCAGAGCCCGGGGACCGCCCGGGGCTGCTCCGGGCCGCACCGCCGCCACCCACGCGGCGAAGGCAGCTGCGCCCGGAGGCCGCGCCGCAGCGGGGGTGGGGCCGCGGGGGCCGGTGCATCGCCCCCAGGGGCCCACCCCTGCCCCGGGCTCTCCGCGATCGCCCGCAGGCCCGGCCCACGGTGCACCCCCCTCCCCCCACCTGGCCGGAGCTCGGCTCTTACCTCCCGCGGCGGCTTTCCTCCGGGGGGACTGCGCCACCCGCCCGGCCGCCCCGGGAGCGCCCCGCGGGAGGTGCGAGATGCGCAGCCGCTGCGGACGCCGGCCCCGCCGCCGCTGCCCGGGCGTGTGAGCTCAGCCTGCCCGCGCGCCCGCGCTTCCCACGCTCCGCGCCCCGCGCCGCGCCCCCCAGCGGCCGCGCCGGGCACCGCACGCCGGCGTCCGGGAAAATCTGACGCAGCGCTGCCAGCCGCGTTGGAAATTCCCAGAATCTGACCGAGGTTTGCTGCGCGGCCGGAGGCTGACAGGTCACGCTGACCACCCCCGGCCTGAGGCAGGACGTCTGCCGCCCACCCCGGCTCGGAAGGAGATTCCAAGCCTTTGCGGGACGCCCTGAGTCCCCCACCCCCCACCCCCCCTTCGTCTGACCTTGCTTCCATATTTCTCTCGGGGCAAATGGACACTGTGGCGAGGGTGCCGACTAGTCTTTAAAACGGGGGGGGGGGGGCGATAGAGGATCAGGGGTGAGCAAAGGGCAGGAAACTCTGCAGGCTGCCACTCCAAGGCCTCCTTGGCCCTGTCTACAACTACGAGTGTGCACAGGTCTCTTCCAGAGCAATCTTGTTGTTTAAAACACACACACACACACACACACACACACACTAAATAAATAATAAGAGGCCCCAGTCTGCCTGTACTTCTAATTTGGGAGATTTGGAGGACTGGCTTTTAACCTTTTCTCACATGTAGACCCTTTGGAGATTTGGAAACGCGCTGTGGGCCCTGTCTGCAGGCAAGTGCACACCCCTACGTAAGGACAATTGTGCATGGCCCGAATGCTCAGACATCGCCACACTCCACGGAGCCCAGCTTAAGCCCTCCTTCTGGGCAGACGCCCTGAGGTAGCAGGAGACGGAGCTGGCGGTGACCTGAATCTGCTGCCATCTTTGCTTACACTGTTTCCTCCTCGGGGGTGTCTCCTCCATGCCTCAGTCCTGCATTTCTGCCTATAGCGACCCCAACTCTCTTTTCAGACCAGCTCTCAGCCCTGTTTTCCCCAGTTTTTACATTCAGACGTGCTGTCCGTCGCCGGTGTTTGCTGGGCGCGTGTTCTTTATGCCATTTATGTCTATTACTGCTCTACATGAGAGCCTCTAGTTCTTTCTGTGGTTGGTTGTCTTACGGCTTCTAGATCAGTGGTTCTCAACCTTCCTAATGCCGCGACCCTTTAATACAGTTCCTCATGTTGTGGTGACCCCCAATTTCATTGTTACAAATTGAACATAATTAAAGCATAGTGATTAATCACAAACACGATATATGATTATATATGTGTTTTCTGATGGTCCTATGTCGACCCCTGTGAAAGGGTCGTTCGACCCCCAAAGCGGTTGCGACCCACGGGTTGAGAACCGCTGTTCTAGATTATAAACACTTTTAAGGCCAGTTTCCCCCTCTGCAACTACAAAGGTGCCTTACATGGCACGCCCTTGGCAAATAGCTCTTAAGTAATCAGGGGAAGTTGAGAAAACAGGAGGCCCATAGGAATCCCCCACCTGCTTCCTCCGACCTTGCTCCCATATTTGACCTTTCCCACTTTGAGATGGGACCCCTCTTGCCCGAATTTTTATGAGGCTACGTCCTACTCATTCTCCAGGTTCCCCCACTGTCTCCTCTTATTACACCCCCCCCCCGCCCCCGCCCATCCCTGCTATGTGACACTCATTGCACAGTGTTGCCTCCCGTAATGTCTGCTTTCCCTGTCAGACCAGGGGCTCTGCAATAGTGTCCTTAATCCCTAGCACAAGGCCAGGTGCCAGGTAGGAACACACCAAATACTTATTGAATGAATGAAAGCTTTGAACATGACACAGACTCAGAGGAGAGACTCTGGGACAAATGCAGAATCCGAGGGCCAGCCAGGGTGGGACCAGTGAGACTGCTTTTGAATGCGGTACCACCCACTGTTTTCAAGTGAATTTCAGTCTGTCTGAGTCTTCCCTTATCCCCAACTGAAAAATGGGGATAATAAGACCCAGGGTTTCTCAGAAGGCTGCCAGAGACATATGCGGAAGCACTTGTCATTTTGAAGTGCTAGGAGTCGTGTTGCATTACTTCACTCGATCTTCACAATAACATTTTGAGGTGGGCAACTGTCATTTCCCATTTTGCATATGAGGAAACTGAAGGAGGACAATGGAAATCAATTTGCATAAGGTCACCTCGCTGGTTGCCAGGGAACAGAGGCTTGTCCCTGGGTCCCAAGCCCAGGCGCTCTCCACACTTCACCACTGCCCCTCCCTTCATGCCCAAAGTAGGAAGCAATGTTGGGACACATGCATGTTGACATTTGGGGATCATGCAACTTGCAAATGTCACGGCTTACCATTTCTGAAAGGGTTTTTTTTTTTTTTTTTTTTTTAGGAGGAGGGCGGGGGTGTGTGTGATGGGTTGTTGGTATAAAGTAAAGTATATAACAACAGGAATCACGGCAGAAAGGAGGAGGGTCGGGAGCAATTGACCTTCGAGCTGACCCCATATTCCCCACCTCTGCCCCTTCTCCCACCCTGGGGGGGTTACCTTGATTGACAGCCCCCTTTCACCACACAGTGGGGCCTTTGCAGGCTCTGAGGTTCCCCGAAGCTGGAGATCTTTTCCTGCCTCCATATTTCCAATGCCGCCTGTCAGCAGATATTTCCTGAGCTCTTGCTAAGTGCTTTGCCACTGCCTGTGGAAACCTGGCCAAATGACTTAACCCCTCTGAGCCGCAGTTTCCCCTTCTGCGAAATGGGATCGATAATCACCAATCTCACAAGGCTTAAACGAGATAACCTAACAGCTGGGCCCTTGCTAGTGGACACTCCTGCCTCCAAACCTCCCCCCCCCCCCCACCCCCCCCCGCCTGCCCCGTGTCTTCTGGTTTTCATTCCCGAGTGCATGGGATTGTCTGTTTAGTAACCGGGGGAGGATGGAGAGGAGTGGAGGGGCCAGAAAAGAGAGGAAAGGACTAAGAAGGCCACTGTCCTTCCCACCTTGCCCCTCCCGGGACATGGGGAGCTGTGGGGCTCAGAGCCTGTTTGCACCTCTCAAGAATGACTTGTGAATTGCTGAGCCCTTTGCGTTTGTATGTCGCAGTCAGCCCCAGTGATGAGCAGCTTTTCCAAGCCCTTGGTGGTCAGGGGGTTTGGACCACTGAGAGCCAGGAAGGAGGGAAAGAGCCATCTTTTGCGGACTCCAGCTGTGAGGGCTCATATGAGGCTCCTTTGCCTGGGGGGGGGGGGGGAGGGGGCGGGGGGGGTGTCTCCCAGCAATAACTCTAGAACATTCTAGGAATGTGGATTAAATCATCAAACAAGATGTTAGTAACTTAAAGAAAGAAGGTGGAGCCTGGCCGGCATGGCTCAGTGGTTGAACATCAACCTATGGTCAGGGTTCGATTCACAGTCAGGGCACATGCTCGGGTTGTGGGCTGGGTCCCCAGTGTGGGGTGTGCAAGAGGCAGCTGATCAATGATTCTCTCTCATCATTGATGTTTCTCTCTCTCTCTCCTCCCTTCCTCTCTGAAACAAATTTAAAAATTTTTTATTTTATTTTGTAAGAAAGAAGGTGGTGCCTGGCACATGGTAGGAACTCAGTGTGTGCGAATTCTCTAAGATGTGCACTCTTGGGCATCAGGGCGCAGAGTCCCGGTGCTCCTGGGTCTACTGGTAACGCAGCCTTTACACAAAGCATGTTTGTTTCTCACTGTGGCCAGCGCCCCAGGGAACACGCGTGGAAGTTCCCTTCAGAGATCCCCCGTGTGTGGTTATGGTGGTTTTACTCTTTAAAGATTAAATCACATTTTCCCTTTTCTGCTCAACAAAGACAACAGCCCTTTGGTTTTTGATAAAATGTCCCTTTCCTACTAGCAGGTGGATATGCCCCAGGCGCTGAGAGCTGTGCTTTTAAAACACACACGTGCCCGGCTGTTCGAATCTGCTCCTTCTCCTTTCCCTTATCTTCTGCCCGGGGGGCTGAGTCTTCTCTGCCTTGGCAGGCTGATAACATGTGGAAGGATGAGAACAGTTCTAATTAATAGACTAATTAGTGGTACAAGCCTTTAATAGCTGATTATAGGAAAGTCATTCCCCACCCCCCACCCCAAGTGACTTATTTATTTATTGCTGTTGTGCTGCAGTATGGCACAGAGGCAGCTTGTAATGATCTATTGGTTGGTTCGGTGGGACTTTTCCTCTCTTCCTTCTCCTCCTTCCCCTTGCTAATGGTCAGCACAGGCAGGATGGGAGAATTCAACCAGCTGACAAGCAGCTCTGCACAGACATGTGCTGGGATTCTTTTTTCTTAAATATATTTTTAATTGATTTCAGAGAGGAAGGGTGAGGGAGAGAGAGAGAGATAGAAACATCAATGATGAGAGAGAATCATTGATTGGCTGCCTCCTGCATGCCCCCCACAGGGGATCGAGCCCACAGCCCAGGCATGTGCCCTTGACCGGAATCGAACCTGGGACCCTTCTGTCTGCAGGCCGATGCTCTATCCACTGAGCCAAACCAGTCAGGGCAAGTGTTGAGATTCTGATGCCACCCCATCTTGACAGCTCAGAGCTAGAAAGGGGATGGGAGGTATTGGAGAAAAGAAGGCAAGAAAATCCTACCCATTGCGTTGGCTTACCTCCCCGTGACCCTCCTCTCTCGATTCCTCCCTCTTGGTGTGCCACAGCTCACATGCGTGTCAGTTACATTCAAACACAGCCTGGTGTGGAGCTTAAAAGCCAGCACTGAAATGGACTACCTAGGTTCAAACCTTGGCTCGCCCACTGGCCAGCTGTGTGGTCTGAGCAAGTCACCTAACCTCAAGGGTAATGTTTCCTCATTGGTAATGTGGGAATAGAACTGTTCCTTCCTAGGATTGCGGTGAGAGTTCAATAAAACAAGCCAGGCAGAGTACTTAGCACAGTGCCTAGCATATACTAAACCCTCAATCATGTTAGCTATGATAATCACTACTGCCTGAAACTATTTAACTCATCAAATGCATGGAAGGAACTTGGTAAATGTTAGTAGACTACATGAATGACTATATCATAATTTTCAGGTAGATGGTGTGCCCTTAAACTTCAAATAGGAGAAGAAGAGAGGAAATTGCTCCCTAAATCATAATAAGAAGCTACTGTTAGCTGAGTGCTTATCCTGGGCGAGGCTCTGAGCTAATTGCTTTATTCGCTCATTTAATCCTTATATAACCTGATTTTTACCAGCCTTCTTGGATCATGTTTC